TCTATATTTCCACTTAGACGATCTATCTTATGTTGATGCTCGCCAATTCTCTGCTCTACTACTAGATTACAGGGGTCTGATTCAGCGTGTGACAGAAGCAACATACACCCATTGCCACACACTGGATGTGGTCATAACGAGGGAAAATAACTCAGTCATTCATGGAGCTATTTCAGTGAATGATCCTTGTCAAAGTGATGTAAAGGGGAACCAATCCGGTGATTATCTTGCTGTCCACACAAAACTGAATTGTAGTAAGCCAGATCGTGCAAGTGAGCTTCCGGAAATTCCGCGAAATTCCAACAAGATTTCAACAATGGCATTCAGTCTAGTTTTTCCGCCCTTCAATCTACTGAAGGCGAGGTTGATAATCTTATTGAAACATACACATCTAGTATAGAAGCCCTTATAGGGAAACACGAACCTCTGCAGACTAAAGTGATAACTGTGAGACAAAATGCCCAATGGTATAATGAAAATATTCGCGTAGAAAAATAGAACCGTTGAAACGCATTGAGACAGTGGCGACGGACCAAATTAACCGTTCACCAACATATTTATAGTGAGCAATGTCGGATGGTTGGTTCACTTCTCTTTCAGTCAAAGTCTTATTATTCGGAAAGAATCGAAGAATGTGGTAAGGAAAATAGACAGCTTTTTAGAATCAACAAAAACCTAATGGGACAGGTGAAATTAACCTACCAAGCTGTAATTCTGAAAAAGACTTAGCAAGCAAGTTCAGTGATTACTTTCTGAATAAAATCAGCTTATTCAGGAACAAATATTGCCGAAGTGAACTCATCTGCTGACATTGACATCTCTGTCATGACTGCAGATATTGCATTTGATGGAGAACCATTGGCAAAGCTCTCATCAACAACCCAGGATAAGTTGCGCAACATGACCTCGCAATCGAAGTCCTGTGCGCTTTATCCACTGCCTATAGACTTATTAAATCCATGTATTAAATCACTGATGCCGTTGGTTACCTCAATCATGAACAAATCATTGGCTGAGTCAAAGATTACATTATGTTTCAAGAAGGCACATGTCAGGCCATTGTAAAAGAAGCCTGGAATGGACAAGGGGGAGTTGAAAAACTACCGCCCAGTTTCAAATCTGCCATTTCTGTCTACGATCTTGGAGAAGGTTGTGTCCCGGCGTTTAGAGGTTCATCTCCATGCAAACAGTCTCCATGACAACATGCAATCGGCCAACCGCATGGGACACTCTACTGAGACGGCACTCCTACGTGTACATAATGATATAGCTTCTGCATTGGATAACAAGTGCAGAGCGGTGCTTGTCATGCTGGACTTGTCAGCTGCATTTGACGTCATCGACTTTGGCATACTTCTGAAATACTCTTATGGAGTGACTAATACCGCACTATGCTGGATACAGTCTTATCTGAGTGAACGACGACAGTGTGTTGCCAACGGATCTTCCACCTCACATGACAAAGTACTAGATGTTGGGGTTCATCAAGGGTCGGTATTAGGACCACGAACATATTGTATGTACCGATTGGAGAGAGTTGACGTCGCGATAGCCTTCGCTATCATTGCTATGTCGATGACACATACATTTACATGGTCTTAAAACCACAGGACAGTTGGAATACAGTCTCAGAAAGTCTAGTAAGCTTGTCTGACAGATATCAGTATCTGGATGAACGCCAACATGCTTATGCTTAATCAGGAAAAGACGGAACTTATCGTCTTTTCCCCAAAGTGTCAGCAAACAATGGCTTTCCAGCTCAAGGTCGGTGCCAGAACTATTGACGAGTAGGGGTATACTTTGATAGTTCACTGAACATGGAGAAACAAGTGAACGCTACTGCCAAAACCTTTTACTACCAGATCAGCAACATCGGCTGTTTTCGGCAGTTTATAGCTACAGATGCATGCGAGATGTTGGTGCATTCACTTGCTACCACTCGGTTAGATTATGGTAACGCACTGCTCTGTGGTATATCTGACAAACTAACTAGTCGTCTACAGAGGGTCCAGAACACTGCAGTACGGCTAGTTACTCGTACTGGAAAGACAGAGCACATCACACATGTGCTTTATTCGTTGCACTGGTTACCTGTTCCATACAGGTCGCAGTACAAAATGCTGGTATACACGTACAAGGCACTGAACGGAACAGCTTCTCAGTACCTACAAGAGATGGGTACCCTGTATCAGCCGTCACGATCACTGCGGTCGGAATGCAAGAACTTTTTTTCCAAAGTAGAATGTTGGTCAACCTCGACAGAGTATGTAGGAAAGAAATATGTATAAGTTGCGTTTAATTTGTTTTATTGCTTCTGTTTTATTGGGGTGTTTTTTATGTAAACAAGTCAAACGGATATTAGTTATCACATCCCATGTTTTGTGAAAATACCAGTTGGATCAGTTTACACCAAACTTTAAACGTAACATGTAACGTCACGGTACCCAAAACGATATATTCTTGAAATAAATATCAATGTATTTATATCGTGATATCAATTCCACTAATGTTTGTTTATTTTTCGTAAATGTATACCATATACACACGTTGGTATTTCCGGCACGTGGTTTTAAATATAGATCGTGAAATATTATCAGGGTTGTTGTCAGTAATTCCTGAAAATGTGAGAAACAAATACTTTATTCCTGAGCATCTAATAACGTGAAAGTAAACAAAATGTATGGCCGATCCATCCTATACTCACCGCATAAAATGACCTCCAATTCCTTCCTCGAAATATTTTACTGTACCAGGCCCGAACGATGCCATAGCGCCTCCAATGAACTCCTCTTTGCTCCAATCCCGCTCACAGTAATCAAGGGGAGATACCGCTTCTTTTCCAAAATAGAGAGCAAGCGATTCCAGCACGGCGTTCCGTCTGACCTGTTCCTGTAACGTTAGCAAACAACGTTTGTCGTATAAACGTAATATTTGTTATCGAGTAACTGTCAATGGCACTTGATGGTGCACGGGTCTGACTGTAAATGCCTGTGTTAAAACTAGTGTCGGAAGGTTGTGGTCGGTGAATTGTTTGTCTTTACTATCTTTCAATTCCTAACATGCCGGTTTGTATTAAATGTTAAGAGGGTGTGTCGTTATGTTGAAACTAACGTTTTTTTTTGACATACATTGAACTTAGTTATCTGTTTGAGAAATAGGCTATTTCTTTTTGTTTGATATGAAAGTCCGTGGTTTTTTTTTATCACGCCACGAGTATGGCTTGTTGTACATTTATTAATGGTTATAAATTTATATTATTATACAAAATTCATCTTGAAAATGTGAGGTTAAGTAAAGTAATACAAAACATTACGACAGGTAGTTCATATCTTAATCTTTAGGTCACTAAATAAATGATATAGAAACACAAGTGACGAAGGAAGATAGTTGATGACGCGTGCCCAGTCTGGGCCTTGAACTCACGACTTCCGGCACCCGATCGTCGTGGTCATAATGACGAATTATTCGTACCTGTATCGCAATGTAGATATACAGACATAGATACGAATTGTATATATAAAGATAATATCAAACAATAGAATATGCTGCCTTTAAATAATACTACATTAGTTGAATGTAACGTAATTGTATAAAATACCAATAAAATGGATTGTGATTTTAGAGATATCCCAATATTCATTCCAGATATATATCTAACATTGCTGTGAAGAGGGTTTGGAAATAAAATAACTTTAAACCATGTTTTTCTGTTTGTTTTAGAGATAAATTTGTATCATATATCAAATTGTTTGAACCATGAGAACCATCGAGACAGTATTTTCTAAACAAAGAATGTAATCACTGGTCGACCAACCTGCTGTTTCCCCCATTGTCGAGCCTGTTCTCCAGCAATAAACACAACCAGTGCGGGACTTCCCTTATGTGACGTCGCGTCCATTGTACATGTGATAGGTCCACGTTCACATCCCGTCACATGGCTTGGTCCACCATTTGTCTCTATCTCACCAACTAAACCCTTTTTGGGCCAAAAACTCCTTTATCAACCGGAAAATGCGAACATTTATTTTATGAGATAGGGCAAGATCGTTCAAGATTCCTTGTCGCAGAGTTATATATAACTTAAACCTCATTAGTTCAGGACAGTTTATGCGTCTCCCATTTCACCGTACGTGTGTGTATCATCATTCTGTGCTATGATATTTCAGAGCTTACTCGTTTTTATCGTGCTATGCTTTTTATGATTGATCAGTTCTTAAGCTAAAATCAAACTACTCTTAAAGAGTAAAGTTTCCAAAAATACTTTAATGGAATGTATATAATGTATCACTAGAATTATAAAAAAGTTAGACAAATATACCCAAAACAATATTCATTGTGACGTCATTTTCTTCTAGTGACAAGTGTTCATATGCAAATTTATGTTATTTGTCAAGTCACTGAATAACACTCTAATCAGGTAACAACACAGATGTGTTTTGTTGTGCATATTACAAGATTTTTTTGGCATTCAGTTGTTATTATATTTTCTTAACTGTTCTTACCCCTCATATGTTACAATAACTGTTGTTACCTTCTCATATGTTACAATAACTGTTCTTACCTCCTCATATGTTACAATAAGTGTTCTTACTTCCTCATATGTTACAATAACTGTTCTTACCTCCTCATATGTTACAATAACTTTTATGTAATCTCCGAACACGTATCTCTTGTGGATTTCTCTTCGTTCAACCGGAAGTATTGGTTCGAATGTGATTTTATCTAAAATGTAGGTTACAAAGTAATATCAGAATCAAACTAATTGACTGGGCAATAACAACACAACATATCACTATTCCCGAAACGTACTTATGTTAGACTCCACACTTGACAGATATAGTATTGGTATATATTTTCAATGATATGTTATGTATTATATATATGGGTAGACATTCTCACCTGTTGCTGAAGGGGGCGTGGCTATAATGAGTCTCTGGCCAGTCACCTGCAGACCGTTTTGACAGGACACAGTGACTACTTCATCATCCTATAAATATACCGTAGTGTCGTTAAACTGCATAAGGTTGGTGGGATGGTGCCCGACCACGTGGGTTTTCCCCGGAAATTCCGGTTTACCCCTACATCAAGACCCCATGCGCACTACGAACCGTCCGAACAAAGATGTTTCATATACATGCAGATATTGTTTTTGTTAAAAATTATTGTGAAGGAAATATGTGTTAAATAATTAAAACTGCATCATTTAAAAAACGAACAATTTGTGATTTTATTATGGGCCACTAAGACGGTACCTAAAACTACCCCCGCAGTCATACATTCTGCTAATGACAGATGCAGTACGTGCTTACCTATCAAGATATATTTGACCAACGAGAGGCCAGTTTAATGGCGACCATTAATAATATAACCAAAATATAACTTTGTGCTTTTTGAGTTGAAACGTTAAACGCGATAGAGAAAGTTAGTTCCTCTATGTTTTCCACATTATACCTAGCTTGCGTCACCTGAAACTGATACAATGGCGTTGCGTCTGTTGTGTGGTGTTATAAAACGTTAGTCGGTTAATATACACATGGAGCTGAAAACCATAGTTCTGTAGAAAATCACTTCACTGGTACATAACGATACTGACTTTACAGACCTAACTTTATAGGGATTGTACGGCTTTTTTTTAAATTTTCGACATGTTTACATTTTTACTATAGAACAATTGTTTCATGTTATTTACTTGTTCTTAGATCAATAGTTTATTTACTGCGTTTTGTATATGCGCCGTCCTTTAAACGATATTGGCGGAATAGCCATATTTAAATAAAAATTGGCGCCAATATTAAACCGTATTAATTTGAGCGTTTGACGCAGGGGCATTTCCACGCTATCCGAAGCCAACCACGAGACTACCATTGTACAAGGTTAATATATGACGTCATAAGTACACCACGCGTTACGTCACGGAGGTTTTGCTTTCAGGCTCAAATGAAATGCATTTCTGCCGGTTACATGACAGTATTAACCGACTCATTTTTGGTTAGTATCAGTTTTGACGTAGAAGCTTATAACTTATCGTACGATTCGAGCTGTTTGTCGGTTAAAATCTGACGACATCATACATTATAGTCTGCTTACACAACTGACAAATAGACACATGCAATAACTCTGTATATACCATTGTATTATTTTCCCATCCATATTTACTTCGTTAATACCCGAGTTCGAACCGGAAGTCAAAACAATGACAGATAACTCCATTTTCTTCACTTTAACTGCGGACCGGAAGTTTACTTATTACCACGACTTAATTCAAATTACAACATATCCAATGGAATAGCTCACACAAAAAAAAAGATCTAAACTAAAGCTGGTTTGTAATACATCGATGAATGGGTATAAAAGAGGGTTACTTTTTACGAATTTATCTGGAGGTACCCACCTGGACAATCTTCTCTACTGGATGGTTCAACAGCACGTTCTCCAGTCCCACTTTTTCTACAAGAATTTTTGGAATCTGTTGGGTGCCACCCTGTAAAACAACAACTATACGAATATAAATCAGAATGTATCAGAGTGATTCAAATTTGTTTAACATTATTCAAACTTTTCAATGCCATTCAACTTATATGGACACATGTACATATAGCTAGTGTACAGCTGATATATTCTCCATTCTTTTTATTTAGCGTAAATTTAACATTGCGGGGAAGTGCGGTGATTATACTGATTAATCATAAATGTTCATTTAGAAAAGTTCGATTTCCTTGAAATCGTCAACATATGCGATAATTAAGAAGATTGCATATCATTGTGATACAGACACATTTTATAATACTCCGCATTTTATCCAAACTTAGTCGACAATTCAGGATTCCTGTCCCACTAAACTGTGTTAGTTTTCGTATTTACAGTAACCTCCCCTTATTTTTGTTCTGTATACCGTAGAACAGTTGGGCTAGGACACTGCCGCTGTCCAGGTAGCCTAGATGTTTCCTATGTTTTATATCTTTATTCTGTTATATTTTATCTATTTTATCCTCGTAATTTCGTAATTACCCTCAAGGTATGATTTTCTTATAAGATAAATATTTATCCGACCCTTAACCAAACCGAAAAACTGTTTCCAGTGCGTTGTTACAGTTTTGCAGTGGCACAGTTCTTTTTTTGGGTTTCCGGTAGAGGTAACTAATGTGTGACAGTCAAGCTTGTTTCGGTTTCCGGTAGAGGTAAATAATGTGTGACAGTCAAGCTTGTTTCGGTTTCCAGTAGCGGTAATTATTGTGTGACAGTAAAGCTTGTTTCGGTTTCTGGTAGAGGTAACTTATGTTTGACAGTAAAGGTTGTTTCGGTTTCCGGTAGAGGCAACTAATGTGTGACTGTAAAGCTTGTTTCGGTTTCCGGTAGAGGTAACTAATGTGTGACAGTCAGCTTGTTTCGGTTTCCGGTAGCGGTAACTAATGTGTGACAGTAAAGCTTGTTTGGGTTTCCGGTAGAGGTAACTAATGTGTGACAGTAAAGCTTGTACAAGAACAATCCTCCAAATCACTTGTTACTAAAAATAATAACAACACTAAGAACGTGTTTATGCTTGCGATGACATCGAATGGCGAGGTTCTTACTAACTTGATAATCATCTCAGCAGATTATTTAGAGAAAATATGCCAATAAGTCGCGTTACTTCATTTTTTTTTTACTTTTCTGTAAGTTTTAGACGGCGGTTTCTTTCATTATATTCATATCTGTTAAAAGTTGTGTCGACAAACGTAATGTCACTTCACTTCAGTTGATGTGTAGGTCAGGTTTTCTTTGGTTACTTCATACAAATGTTAACTTTTCTGTAGGTTTAAACGTATATATGGTTAACTTTTCTATAGGTTAAAACATATGTATGTTAACTTTTCTATAGGTTAAAACATGCATATGTTAACTTTTCTATCAGTAAACATACATATTTTAACTTTTCTATAGGTTAAAACATATATATGCTAACTTTTCTATAGGTTAAAACATGCATATGTTAACTTTTCTATAGGTTAAAACATACATATGTCAAGTTTTTCTATATGCTAAAACATACAATTGTTAACTTTTCTATAGGTTAAAACATACCCATGTTAACTTTTCTATATGTTAAAACATACATAGGTTAACTTTGCTATAGGTTAAAACATATATCTGTTATCTTTTCTATAGGTTAAAACATACATATGCTATTTGTTCTATAGATTAAAACATGCATATGCTAACTTTTCTATAGGTTAAAACATACATATGCTAACTTTTATATAGGTTAAAACATACACATGTTTAACTTTTATATAGGTTAAAACATACATTTGTTACCTGTTATATAGGTTAAAACATACATATGCTAACTTTCTATAGGTTAAAACATATATATGTTTATTTTTTCCATAGGTTAAAACATACATATGCTAACTTTCTATAGGTTAAAACATATATATGTTTATTTTTTCCATAGGTTAAAACATACATATGTTAACGTTTCTATAGGTTAAAGCATACATATGTTTAACTTTACTATAGGTTAACATATACATATGCTAACTTTTCTAGAGGTTAAACATACATATGTCAACTTTCCTATAAGTAAAACATACATATGTTAATTTTTCTATAGGTTAAACATGCATATGTTAACTTTTCTATAAGTTAAAACATACATATGTTATCTTTTTTATGGGTAAAAACATACATATGTTAACTTTTTTATAGATAAAAAAATGTTAACTTTTCTATAGGTTAAAACATACAAATGTTAACTTTTCTATAAGTAAACATACATATTTTAACTTTTCTATAGGTTAAAACATATATATGCTAACTTTTCTATAGGTTAAAACATGCATATGTTAAAATTTACTATATGATAAAACATACAATTGTTAACTTTTCTATAGGTTAAAACATACCTATGTTAACTTTTCTATATGTTAAAACATACATAGGTTAACTTTTCTATAGGTTAAAACATATGTATGTTAACTTTTCTATAGGTTAAAACATATATATGCTATTTGTTCTATAGGTTAAAACATACATATGTTTTCTATAAGTAAACATACATATTTTAACTTTTCTATAGGTTAAAACATATATATGCTAACTTTTCTATAGGTTAAAACATACATATGCTATTTGTTCTATAGGTTAAAACATACATATGTTAATTTTTCTATAGGTTAACATATACATATGCTAACTTTTCTAGAGGTTAAACATGCATATGTCAACTTTTCTATAAGTAAAACATACATATGTTAATTTTTCTATAGGTTAAAACATACATATATTAACTTTTCTATAAGTTAAAACATACATATGTTATCTTTTTTATGGGTAAAACATACATATGTTAACTTTTTTATAGATAAAAAAATGTTAACTTTTCTATAGGTTAAAACATACATATTTTAACTTTTCTATAAGTAAACATACATATTTTAATTTTTGTATAGATTAAACCATACATATGTTAAATTTTTCTATATGCTAAAACATGCAATTGTTAACTTTTCTATAGGTTAAAACATACCTATGTTAACTTTTCTATATGTTAAAACATACATATGTTAACTTTTCTATAGGTTAAAACATGCATATGTTAACTTTTCTATTTCTGTTGATTATAACATTTTATCGTTCTAGTCTTGATATCCTGTTCATGTTAAGAACTTTACACACTGACCTTGACCTTTAACCCCTGAGCTGATTCCTCTGTGACCTCGAGCATAGGTTCAAAACCACCCGATCCAGCCACTGACATCATGAGAGCCAACACAGACTGTTCTGAAGGCTCCATCGACGAAATGCTCCGAATGATAACCCGCATGTATTCCTTCGCCGCTGAAAAACCAGGAGGAGCTATTTTAATAATGACACTGGCCAAAAATGATTTTATGAGAAGTGCTATATTTACTTCAGTTTAAATGATGAATGCTTTTAACCCCTGTGGTTACTAAGGACGAAACATTGACGCGTGCTTAACCGGAAGTTATGATAAGATGCGTGTTTACTGCATTATAGTTTACATAGCCGAGTAAAGCTTAGGTTAAATGATATAACACTTATATCTATATAATTCTACCTACTTATAATTATAACGGTGCTTCCATTGTGAGAAATATATATTACACTAAAATATTGTCATAGATTTACGTCATGTGTATGCGTGTCACTGTTTTAATTTGTTTGGTTTTGAGGAATATAGTGGAGAAAATGGATCATTCCCGATCTTTTGGATAGAAAGACGAATCTCCAACCCCAGAGGAGATTTCCGATTGTCTTACTCTTGGCCGTTGAAGCCTTGAGTGCATCATTGAATAATCTCCTCCTCGAAGGGACATTTCTTTTTCTAATCATTAATTTAGAGGACGATCCTTTTCCAACTTCATCCCAGAAAAAGCGTCTACTTTTCCTAGTGGGTCATCTGAAATAGATCGGACAGTCTCAACAATCGTGCATTTCTTTGAAGAAGAAAAAAAGACGGAAATGTGCGTACACGTAAGAGCACGTTCCTGTTCCGCCAGCCAGGGTACGAAAGGAAGACATTGGTGCGACTTACTTTTCGTCCATAGGTGTTGTTTTATAAACGTCTCAAAGTCGGTGTTGTCCCATTCCAAAGCATTAGGACCCTGATACGGGTGGGCAGGATCTACTGTCTTTCGGTATTTCTCCATCTCTTGACAAGTTTTATATCAAAAATCACATATACCGTATTCTTTGCCACATTTGATATCTGGTTTCAATCTCAAACCATTATTTATTTATTACTATTATTGTTTTTAGGTATATAATTGTTTTTTTCTCCGTGAAAAATAGTGGGGTTTGGTTTGGATTGGTTTGATTTATTGTTGTTCAACGTCCTACCAACAGCTTTGGTCATTTAAGGACGGCCTCTCCTGTGTGAAGATGCATGCGTGTAGGGTATGTGTGTGTGTTTTGGGAGGCTGCAATGTATTCGTGTTTGTCTCCATGTGATAGCGCGGAACTGATGCCAACTTTATAGTGCTATCTACGCGAAAAAAGAGGGGAAACAATAAACCATTTCTTGACATCAATGTCAATACACATTTTATTTTCACGAAGTAGATATAGAGCCGTAAAAATAATCGTTGATTCATTTCTATTAAATACTCTGAATGGGGGAAAAACAACCTGGGTACCTCGAGCGCGAGATGTGAACACGACTAATGCCATGTGATCAATATAATCCAATCAAATGCGTTGTTAATTGGATGATGTTTTACATTTGTTAATTGTACTACACGACAGTCGTCTTACCTTATTCATGAACATCTTGAGGTCTAACAGCGAAAGAACGGGTAGGGAGGGAGTGTCGCCGGTATATGACGTAACTTTGTTTCCCCCAATTTGAAGGAGATACGTCCCTTCTGTTTGCTGTGGATACGTCTCTAGGCCGAGCTCCTCCAGTAGCGCCATGATGGGTTTCTGTGGCCTTCAAATGGGTTAACACCATTGAAAACCGCGCCACCTCCCTGTCTTCCTCATATTTAAATTTCAATTACAGAATATGAATGTCTATGATGGTTTACAACAAAAGCTATTTCCACATAAATTTAAGTCTATGATGGTTTACGACAATAGTTATTTCCACATAAATGTATGTCTATGATAGGTTGTGACAATAGCTATTTCCACACAAATATATGTCTATGTTAGTTTGTGACAATAGCTATTTCCACACAAATATATGTCTTTGATAGGTTGTGACAATAGTTATTTCCACATAAATGTATGTCTATGATAGGTTGTGACAATAGCTATTTCCACACAAATATATGTCTTTGATAGGTTGTGACAATAGTTATTTCCACATAAATGTATGTCTATGATAGGTTGTGACAATAGCTATTTCCACACAAATATATGTCTATGTTAGGTTGTGACAATAGTTATTTCTACATAAATTCAAGTCTATGATAGGCTGTGACAATAGTTATTTCTACATAAATTTAAGTCTTTGATAGGCTGTGACAATAGTTATTTCTACATAAATTTAAGTCTATGATAGGTTGTGACAATAGTTATGTCCACATAAATTTAAGTCTATGATAGGCTGTGACAATAGTTATTTCTACATAAATTTAAGTCTATGATAGGTTGTGTCAATAGTTATTTCCACATAAATTTAAGTCGATGATAGGTTGTGACAATAGCTATTTCCACACAAATTTATGTCTATGTTAGGTTGTGACAAAAGTTATTTCCACACAAATATATGTCTATGTTAGGTTGTGACAATAGTTATTTCCACACAAATATATGTCTATGTAAGGTTGTGACAATAGTTATTTCCACACAAATATTTGTCTATGTTAGGTTGTGACAATAGCTATTTCCACACAAATATGTCTTTGATAGGTTGTGACAATAGTTATTTCCACACAAATATATGTCTATGTTAGGTTGTGACAATAGTTATTTCTACATAAATTTAAGTCTATGATAGGCTGTGACAATAGTTATTTCCACATAAATTTAAGTCTATGATAGGTTGTGTCAATAGTTATTTCCACATAAATTTAAGTCGATGATAGGTTGTGACAATAGCTATTTCCACACAAATTTATATCTATGTTAGGTTGTGACAAAAGTTATTTCCACACAAATATATGTCTATGTTAGGTTGTGACAATAGTTATTTCCAAGCAAATATATGTCTATGTTAGGTTGTGACAATAGTTATTTCCACACAAATATATGCCTATGTTAGGCTGTGACAATAGTTATTTCCACACAAATATATGTCTATGTTAGGTTGTGACAATAGTTATTTCCACATAAATTTATGTCTATGATAGGCTGTGACAATCGCTATATTCACACAAATATATGTCTATGTTAGGTTGTGACAATAGTTATTTCCACACAAATATATGTCTATGTTAGGTTGTGACAATAGTTATTTCCACACAGATATATGTCTATGTCAGGTTGTGACAATAGTTATTTCCACACAAATATATGTCTATGTTAGGTTGTGACAATAGTTATTTCCACACAAATATATGTCTATGTTAGGTTGTGACAATAGTTATTTCCACACAAATATATGTCTATGTTAGGTTGTGACAATAGTTATTTCCACACAAATATATGTCTATGTTAGGTTGTGACAATAGTTATTTCCACACAAATATATGTCTATGTTAGGTTGTGACAATAGTTATTTCCACACAAATATATGTCTATGTTAGGTTGTGACAATAGTTATTTCCACACAAATATATGTCTATGTTAGGTTGTGACAATAGTTATTTCCACACAAATATATGTCTATGTTAGGTTGTGACAATAGTTATTTCCACATAAATATATGTCTATGTTAGGCTGTGACAATCGCTATATTCACACAAATATATGTCTATGTTAGGTTGTGACAATAGTTATTTCCACACAAATATATGTCTATGTTAGGTTGTGACAATAGTTATTTCCACACAAATATATGTCTATGTTAGGTTGTGACAATAGTTATTTCCACACAAATATATGTCTATGTTAGGTTGTGACAATAGTTATTTCCACACAAATATATGTCTATGTTAGGTTGTGACAATAGTTATTTCCACACAAATATATGTCTATGTTAGGTTGTGACAATAGTTATTTCCACACAAATATATGTCTATGTTAGGTTGTGACAATAGTTATTTCCACACAAATATATGTCTATGTTAGGTTGTGACAATAGTTATTTCCACACAAATATATGTCTATGTTAGGTTGTGACAATAGTTATTTCCACACAAATATATGTCTATGTTAGGTTGTGACAATAGTTATTTCCACACAAATATATGTCTATGTTAGGTTGTGACAATAGTTATTTCCACATAAATGTATGTCTATGTTAGGTTACGAGAGGAGAACTTCATCTGTTACAGTTTGAATTGCTCATCGACGTAATAAATTCGCACATGGTCAGGAGTTATTTCTCCTTTTATGTTTCCCAACATGAAGCATTTCTCTTCGGACTAATGAATTGTTTGATTAGCCGACAGACGGATCCGTTGATATGTTGATCGATTAATTAACGGTGGTTGTACGTGTTTACAACTTCTGACGTCATATTCAAGGCCCCAAGACCAAGAAACGATCTTACGTCTAAAGTTGTCTTCAGTTTTGACAATCACAAAAAAACGTCATGAAATGTGATACATGATTGGCTAAGCAGAAGCTTAAGTCTTCAATTATTTCATAATTTCTTTGGCCAGATATCTAGTGACGTGAATTTTGTTTTTAAAATTGCGTCAACCCCAGTCCTTGTGGAGTAAAGAATGGTTTTGTCATCACAGAGATCAGCCGAAGACCTACATGTATATAAAGTAGAATATTCTTAAAAGTATAAAATTAACGTATCCGGCCGCTGTGATCGTAAACCTGTTTGTGAGGTTAATATCTAGACATAAAATTTGCTGAAAAGAAATTATACATACCTCCCTACCCAGTGACCTCCCAAGTCAAAATCGTCCGTGGTGCCATTTCTTGATTTTAACGGTAATGTTAAAGTTCGACCGCCGACCCTGTCTGTATTATAAACAAGAGCTTTTAATCAAATTTTCTTAATTCCAGCAGGAAGCATATTCATAACAAGAGGCCCAAGGGCCTTAGCGTTCACCTGAGTTTTATCATAGGTACTGGAAGCTTTATTTTAGTGTTTAGATGTGATGTGGAAATCAGCATGTTAACTAAGTGAAATACAATACTTGGCATGTCATCAAAGGATAAGAATTTGAAAATATTGGTAAATGTTCCCTTTGGGGCCCCGCCCTTGCCTCTGGGGATCGGGCAGGAATCCTAATTTTACAATGTAGTACCCTCATTTACCAAAGATGATTCTGACTAAGTTTGAGTAGTTTTCTGCTAAAAATGGATAAAATATACCCAAAAGTGTTATTTCCCTATATAAACTGTAGTAGTAAACGTTACACCCTTCCCATGGGAGAACGGATAGCTCGGGGTCCTGAAATTTACAATTTAAATAAAGCCCCTGGTTATCTTTCTTTTTTGCACTGAAATTGAATGTAATACCTCTGAGACTGGAGAAAAAGGTTTTTGAAATATTGGTTAATTTTCCCTTTGGGGCCCCGTCCTGGCCCCAGGGGTGGGGATATGAATCCCAATTTTACGGTTTTGTAGCCTCATCTACCAAGGATGATTCTGATCAAGTTTGAAAAATATCCATCCACTGGTTTTTGAGAAGAAGATGAAACAACGGACGACGCACGACGACGGATGGAAAGCGATTAAAATGGAGTAAATATTTTACAGTTCCTTTTTTTATATTCATTATGATAAACGGTCAAACACCTTCAAGGCCTGCAATTTTAGACTGATTAAAATGTATTAGAACAAGAAATACACAGTATCACTTTAAAAGAACGAAAACGTTTCATGACAATAGACCTCTCTAACTTAACGGAGGTATAAACGGTATGTGTGAAAGGGGAAACATCGAAACATAATAGTGTGTGAAAGAAAGACACAGAAGTATAAACAGTAAGCGTGACAGGAGAGACACATACGTATTAACAGTAGGTGTGACAGGAGAGACAGAAGTATAAACAGTAGATGTGACTGGAGAGACACAGAATTATAAACAGTCGGTGTGACATGAGACAGAAGTATAAACAGTACGTGTGACAAGAGAGAC